TTCTATAGTTACATTTTGTATTTATCATTTTTTTTGAGTGAGGATTAGCAATTTGAATTTTGTTAAATTTATTTGTTGGGACTAAGTTGTATGCACTGTAGTCCATGACCCATATGTATACTCTATTTTTGTAGCACGATAAGCGCGTGATGAGTCATTTTGCTCACCGAGATTCTTGGATCTCCCCAACACAATTTTAAGTCTTGATCTTATATGTATATTGAGAGTCTTCTCGCATGTACCCGAATTCAAATATTTCAGACATTACAAACTTAACCATGACGGCAGAATCAAATTCCACTTCTATGACTTTTTATCATGTAAACGCGGTCGAAGACTGGACATATGCAAAGGTAACAGAACATTATCGTGCGAAAATGAAAGAAAATCAGAGGAAACTACTAGATTCTATAAAGAAAGATCTACAGAAGGTGGTGAGGTCGGTTTCTGAATTTGACGAGACGCGTAGACATAAGGCTCAAGAAATTCTTGACCATTGGAAGGTACTGTATGTCCCCTAAAAAATATAAAAATAGAAAGTGGGAATAGTTTTTTTCTAGTAGGATAGAAATTTGAATAAGCCAAGAACTTAGTCCATCAGTTATGAACTCTTAGTTCGACGCTTAAGCGCAAGCTGGGTCTCTTAGCCACCAGTTATGAACTCTTAGTTCGACGCTTAGTGCAAGCTGGGTCTCTTAGCCTAAAGGATAGTTCTTAGTTTAATATTGTGGATTCTCTGTATATATAAAATACTTCTGGGATGAATTGTTGCGTAAATAGTTTTGATCTGAAATTTAATTTTATAATATTAATTCAATACTTTGCTTACCAAGAATTGGACCGCACAGAAAGAGAAATTGAAAAGTTCCAACCCGGCTTCCAACGTGCAACTGCAAGTGAGCTTCTAAATCTGAAATTTTATAGGGCAAAAAAGGATCTATTAACATTTTTTCGCCGATTAGGTAAAGAAGGTAAAACAATTTAATAACTTATCTGGTTATTCTGCAACTCAAAATATCGACAATCGTCGTACAACTTCGGGAAAAAGACAACAAGGTGTTGACAATGGAGAAGAAGCGGTATATTCTGAAATCCCTTCGGCCCTATCAAAAGAGGTGAGATTTTTAATCACAATTAGTTATAAGCTACGAAATTTTTTTAAATCCACGACGGATATGTTGCTTTCTTAGGGAGAATATTTGATCCGCAGATCACCTCGAAAAAAGAAGCGTGTTTCCTATATTGAAGTGGATGAAGAAGAGGAATCTGAGATAGTAAGTAGTACTGCTTCGCAATCAGCAGAATCTAGCCCACCCAGGACTCCACCACAAGCTCCCCGAGATCTGAGTCCGTTGATGAAAACTCCGAATAAAAGACCGTTGGAGAGTTCAGAAATCCAGCGGTAAGTTTCCTATTCCCTACTTTCTATATATTACTTAACGAATGAGAAGCATTTCCCTAGTGTCTTGCCCCACAAATCTCTAGATACTCCAAAGATATATCCGTGGTATGCGCTTTCAATAAAACGGTCTTGGAATTAGCATCAGAAGTTGGCGAGGAGCTTGCCATTGAGCTATCCTCTACTCGTGATACCAATCCTGCTCTGTGGTCGCATGCTCTGGAAAAATACCTTGATACTTCTCTTAAAGAAACCGGAAAAAAATTCAAAACTGCAATTCAGGTTGAAGTTCCGAATGAACCATTTCGGTTGTATTGTGAAAAAGTCCTTCTAGACTTGTAAGTAGATGTTAGTATCTGATGTTGTCAATCAAAATAAATATTGACCATTGATTCTTTTTTAGCTATAATCTTGTTGATATAAACTCTACAATGGACCGAAATATAGGCGAACGGAAATTTATTACATATCAAATATCATCGATTTTGAAATTTTATGAGAGGACGTTTTTGAATCTTCGATTGGATTGAAAGCCACGCATCTTCGGCAAAAGTGACAAAATCCGAAACAAATTCCGGAATCGTTAAAGTGGATTCGAAGGCGACTCGGCATTTAGACGGACAGGAAATTTGGCACATGGAGGTTGCAGGTGGACCATGCAAAACAACAGACTTACATACGCTTGGTGATACGAAAAAAACTATGCGAATGGATGTTTTGAATTTAATTGGAATTTTACGAAATCACTTCGATTGCGACATAAAACTCGCCACTAAGATCAAAGTATTTTGCACCCAGGTGATCGGTAAGTAATAGTATAATTGTATTAATTTTTGTTTTTTTTTTTGATATTCATGTTTCCTGTTTCTCCAGGTGCACGAATGACTTTGTACGCTCTAAGTATGCTTCCGGATGGAAGATTCTTTCCACTGAACTTGCAACGGCTCTAATACCTTTCAGTTTCCAGGGTCGAAACCAATACAAGGCTCTTCTCAGATTGATGGCGATATTTCATGTATGTATCTGATGATTTACATTCATATATTTTATTCCCCCAAAAAAATTACTCATTTGATAGTGGTACCTTTCTTTAGGACGAGATAATAAAACAAGAAGAGTTAATGGGCGAGATTGAACGATCTGTACTTCGTTCTAAAGGAGTAACAGTTCGTCATGTATTAAATATTCCCGATGAATTGTTTGAGTGAGTTTGTTAAAGTTAGCAGATGATAGAATAGATTTTCGTAACATTGGCTGATTTAATAGTAATATCACATATATTTATTTTTTAGTATTAATGAAGATTAACAAAAGCTGTTTATCCGACAATCAAATGTTATATTATATGTTTGGTCTTTGATATATGTTGTTCTTTATTTAACCTTGAGGTAAATCTTGCTTATTTTTAATTCATGGCGTACATCTAAATAATAAAGTTCGATACCTTACATAGTGATCGGCGTTCGTGATTTTTTTTTCTTGGCAAAGATTTTCTGGGAGGGCTCAGAAGATTTATGTATGGTTTGTTCAGTGAGTCTTTTATAGCGGTATAGACTAGTCTTATCCATGATGATATAGATTATGTTTTGAGTGAACTTTGTCCTTTTTCTGTGTAAATTAATCTACAATGCATGCAAATAAAAAATTCCTCCCTGCTATGGTAAGTAATATTTTTTCCGAATCTGATTGGCCGATCATCTCGTGATTTATAGAAACTCGCCAGCTCCTGGAACTCTCCTAGAACTATCGAGGAACTGGCAGGGATCTAGGGTGATACATGTGATATGATATACGTCATGCCACAAACTGATTTAGCCAGGCGCCGTGCATATGCATGTAAATATAAAATTAGCTTAGCCCGAGATATGACCCTATATAAATCCTGATATGCTTGTAATCGAATAAAAATGAATCTGATATTTTATTATAATATAGTTGTTACAAATCACTATAAATCGATAAAATAGCTATAAATCTATAAATCTCTTAATAGCTAAAATCATTAAATATGGTATATTCTGATCTCTATATACATTTAAGTGTAGCTGATTCACATATTAACTATGATCTTCCTAGAATGTGTGGGAATGAGACTCCATCAGATTGGAAGGATCAAATTTGGAACACATTAATGGAATATAGAAAAAATCATCTTTTGACTGATTATAATAAGAGATATCTTATCGCTAGAAAACCAACATATTTATATACATGTGATATTTAGTTCAGAATAAATATAGGAATATGTTATTCTTGTAATCAGCTCATCTATTCCAAATTAGAAAGTGGGTATGAGTATTTTCATGCATTCTTTATGGATAAGCATTGGCGTACAAATTGTACTGAAAATGAATATTGTGATATGAGCTTCAAAGACTACATGAAGCTGAAAAATAATCCTCCACCTTGCTATTTCACAAAGAAGGCAATCCGTCGATATGAGATGTGGTTGAAAAATGTATCAAATAGGATTCGACGTATCAGGCAAAAGCATAAGGTACAAAGTAATGTAAATACTACGCCTAGTAAGCCTCACTATATTTATAATCAGCAAAAAATATCAATACTTTCTTAACTCCTCCTTTTCTGAAAAAGCCTGTCCAATATCAGAGATACTATTCCCAAAGGGAATCTTGGATGGATAAGCCACGTTCTTTGACCCTCCTCCTTTGCCACCAAAACCTGTTGCATTAATGAGTGGCTTCGAGAGATACACTATGCGACGTAGTGCAAGTGCGCTAGAGATTTCAGCCTATAGATTTGAAAGAAGCCAGGTCTTGATTGATGCTGAAGCATATTTCGATTCTGTGCGGAAGATAGACTTAATATCTTTCAACTGAATATTATTAATATTATATATCTCAACTATATTTAGCCAAACATATGTTATACTTTATTTTTTTGCAAAATGAATAGCTACATTAATCTGCATGCATGATCGCCTAGTGAAATTGTAAAATGTATCACCTGCAGACGCTATGCATGATCTACCTATTCTAGGTTAGATTATCTAATCTATAACTATTTTAATAAAGTATTTTTCGAGAAGTTCAGGAAAATTAATGAAACGATCTTGGAGATTCTTGATTGCGAGACAATATAACTATCAGTTTGAGAATTTCTATGCAATAGTTATCCAGCGAGCTTATAAGAATTACAAAAAGAGACCCAAATCTTTGGCAAAACAGGTTTGGAAGGCGGTGAGGAATAATGGTACTCCTGACGATAAGAAGTTTTTAGATATTGTTCCTCGTGGTAAAACATATCATTTCATTAATGGAAAACTA